TACACTCCACTGGCCACTCACCGAGTAGAAACCCCGGGACAGCTTCCCATGCGACAGACCCCATATCGGATTCCCGAATCCATACGGGAGCATATGAGGAAAGAAATTGAGGAGATGTTGCAGTTAGGGGTTATCGAACACTCCGATAACCCCTGGGCATCGCCGGTAGTCCTGGTTCCCAAGAAAGACAGTACAACCTGGGTTTTGTGTGGACTACCAGAGGCTAAACGACAAAACTGTGTCGGACGCCTACCTGATGCCCCGGATAGGCGAACTGCTAGATAACATGGCCAGAGGTCAGTATCTCACTACAATAGATCTTTGTAAGGGATACTGGAAAATTCCACTAGCCATTCCCAAGTCGGCGTTTGTCACCCTGTTTGGCTTGTACCAATTCCGAGTCATGCCATTCGGGATGAAGAACGCCCCCGCCACATTCCAGCGGATGGTGGACCGGCTACTGGATGGGTTCCAGGATTATGCATGTGCATACCTGGACGATATTGCCATCTATAGCCAGACCTGGGCTGATCATCTGCGCCACATAGGGGCCGTAATAGATTGGATTGGAGAGGCAGGGCTCACCTTAAAACCGAGCAAGTGCCACATAGGGATGGCGGAGGTTTCAATACTTAGGACACCGAGTGGGGAGCGGGCAACAGAAGCCTGAGCCCGCAACGATTGAAGCCGTAGCTCAGTGGCCCACCCCTAGGACTAAAACTCAAGTCCTTGCCTTCTTAGGTACCGCCGGGTATTATAGGAAGTTTGTGCCCAACTACAGTGACCTGGCCAAGCCCCTGACTGACTTGGTGCGTAAAAACCTACCCAGACAGGTCATTTGGGCCCCAGAGTGTGAACAGGCATTTAACCAACTTAAGACGGCTCTGACAAATGCTCCTGTACTTGTTGCTCCTGATCCAACTAAACGTTTTCTTGTCCACACAGATGCTTCAATGTTTGGATTGGGAGCAGTACTGAGCCAGGTTGGAGCAGATGGCGGAGAACATCCCATAGCATATTTGAGCAGGAAACTGTTACCTCAAGAACTGAGCTACGCCGCCATCGAAAAAGAATGCCTGGCCATGGTGTGGGCCCTCAAAAAGTTACAGACGTATCTCTATGGGCAACCCTTTCTTTGCTCACAGATCACAACCCGTTGGTGTGGCTGAACCGTGTGGCTGGAGACAATGCCAGGCTGCTGCGCTGGAGTTTGGCGCTGCAGCCATTTGACTTTACCATTCATTATCGCCCAGGAAAACAAAACGGTAACGTGGACGGGTTATCTAGACAAACAGACCTTGAGAAGTGATCTGTGAGCCCTCCTCCGGACATCCCCAAGCCGATCCGTTGAGATCAGACTGTGTATGCCGGCTTGGTTCTGGGGGAGCATTGTGGCAAACATAGCCACTTGGACAATATCCAGAGACTGTACCTTTAAGGGTTGCCTGTATGTCGGTGGGGATATGTGTTTAACTGCGTATAATGTATGCTGGCTGTAATGACGTTTAATTACTGTATTGGCTATCTGCCGAATGCAGATAGCTGTATGTGCTGTATTTTCTTTCGTTTCACGAACGGCACTTTTGCGGGCCGTTTGTGAAACGAAAATGCCCCCATGTAGTAGCCCACACACTTAGAGGCGTGTGGCGCTTGTTAACCGATTGCAACAATGTTGCAATCGGTAATTAGAGGCTCTCCTAGGTGGCCGCCATTCGACTACCAACCATGGGGCGGTCGGCCATCTTGGATACTTTGTTCCCTCAGTGGTGTTTGGTCGTCGAGCGCATGGTACTAAAAACGGCTACTCGACGGCGTGAACACCGCTGAGCTTCCAGGACGTTCGGGAGTTCCGGGCCGTTCGGTATTTTGTTCCCTAGAATGCAATCGGTATTTTGAACAGGTATTTCAATGAATGTGTTTTTCGTGCTGCGTTCGGTTGTTTTAGCTGGGATCTGAGCGGTAATCTCACGAATGATGCGCTCAGACCCAAGCTATCTACCGAACGTCCATTCGTTTAAATAGACTTCCTATTCGAAAAGTTATGGATTTTAATATAAATTGCCGGTTCTGCTGCACGGAGTGATAATCCACTTAACGGTACATTCCTGTGGGAGGATCCCTCTCGTGCAGCAGTGCCTGATGGGAGAAATGTCTTGTACAGTAAGTTCCCCATGTAGTCCACTCTGGGAATGCCCCTGGGAGGGGACTCAGGAAACCCCTTGCATGGGGACTTGTATAAATTGTGGAGCTGAAAATAAAGACCTCAGTTGACTCTCAGAACTGTGTTTCGTCCGGTTACTGAGAGATTTGGGATATTGCCTTGCTTTTTCCAATGCTTGACTGTGGATTACTTCCTGAACCAGCGGAGATTGTGGATTTAATATTGGCGTTCCGCTACAGAGGTCTGTCACTGGGTGGCTTTACTGCTTGGGGGGGTTTCCATATAAGTCTTCCCTATCCGCCCATGATATATTGAGATTCGATCAATTGACTGCTGTAGGTAAGCCTGCCTTTTCATAGTGGTGATGCTATTTAACTTTGTTTTTGTTATTATTCAAAGTTTAGTGACAGAAATCACATTCGTTTAGAAAATATCACTTGTCGGGAGAAAGCATACGGATTGGAAGATTTTTAAAGCTTCTGAAGAGATAGACATGTATTTGGGAGTGACAATATAATGGTACGGGTGATATCATGGGGGGCTGGAGTATATATCCCAAACGTGTATCTGTAACCAATCTATATCGGTAGGCGTATCAGAGTATTACTGGGCTTGCAAGCATGTGGATCAAGTTTCACTAGGGTATCATTTCCCAGCTGTGGGCTGTTTGGTATGTCCTGTAAGCATTGTGTCATTTAGGCCATGTGGTGTGATGTGACGCGATGTAGTTGGCGTCAGCAGTGCAGGGCGTTGGTGCTCAGTATCAGGGGCCTGGTTACCAATCTAGCAGGTCAGGTTTCCCGTGCCGCCAGATGGCTGGGTCCATATGTCAGTCTCCAGTGTGGCCAGAGTAGGGTGGGTGGTGCCGTGCTCATTGCCCATGGGTATGTATAGGGTCGTACATGCGTGTAGCCTTGTGTGGGTGTCCCTCCTGGGTGGGGGTTAGATGCTTATGTGGGTTTTTCCATGCAGACTTGTATCTCATTGCTGTTAGGTTGTTGGTGGATTGTGTAGATTTCGAACAGCAGGTGGGGAGATAAGCATGTGGGGGAGGGTAAAGAGTGAAGATGTGAGAAGTTGAAGCGGGAAGGGGTTGACACAGGGCCACATGGGGTGGGGTGAGGGGGGCTAAGGGTAGGTGAGGGGGTATGGTCCTTGGTCCCCATCCTGTTTCCCCTGACCCCTGGATCAGGTGTAGCGGCTCCCAGCATCCACAGGGGCCGTGTCCTCACCATTCAGGATAGGTAGCGGTGCGGTGTCTGCAGGGTCGCTAAGGGGTGTCTGTTTCGACGTCCCGTCATCCGTGGTCTTGTGGTTGGGTTTGGACAGGGCCAGTAGCCCCTTGGCTTCAGCCAGGTGCTGTGTGTCTCCCGTGGTTGTAGTAGAGGAGAGCCATTGGAGCCAGTGGTACCACGCGTTGTGGTAGGTCTGTATGCGTCCTGCCGCAGATAGAATCAATTCCTCGATGCGTATGATGTCCTCCACTCTGTTCATCCATTTCCTTAATGTCAGGGCCGTAGTTCATTACCAATGTCCCGGGATGAGGCTATGGGCTGCGTTCAGCAGGTGTATTTTTTGAATCTGCTTATGGGGAGTGATGTTAATTGGAGCAGATGTGTGTTGGGTGTGAGTTGCAGGTTCACATCCGTGATGGACATTAGTACTGAATGTACTGCCTCCCAGAAGGGTTTGATGAGTGAACATGACCACCAGACATCTCCAACATTCCGGGTCACAGGTGGTCTTCATCGCAGTCAGTTTTTCTGGTGTTCTGTACCAATAGGAGATCATCTGCTTACTGGAATTTGGTGCTAATGGAGGATTTATGTATGAGTATGAACACCTCAGAAATCTCGTCAGTTGATGATATCTGAAGTGGAGCACCAGGTTGTGCAGGGTGTTTGGGACTAGCTCACCCAGAGGTGTGAGCGTGCCCAGGGCCGGACTGGCCCACCGGGATACCGGGAAATTTCCCGGTGGGCCGTCGGCACCTGGGGCCGGGCAGACACCTGAGTCTGCTGGCGGCCTCTGGGGAGGTCTTCTGGCGGCCGCTGTGGGACTTGTCCTGGCGGCCACTGGGGGAGCTGCGCTGGCTCTGCTCCCCAGCGCGCAGCTGAATGAGACCAGCGCAGGAATATGATGTCATATTCCGGCTCCGGTCTCATTCAGCAGCGCGCGAGGGCGGGAGAGCACAGACAGCGCAGCTCTCCCAGCGGCCGCCAGGACAAGTCCCCCAGCGGCCGCCAGAAGACCTCCCCCTGGTGGCAGGTACTAGTAATGTGTCTGTCTGTCTGTATGGTGTGTCTGTCTGTCTGTCCGTGTCATGGTGTCTGTCTGTATGGTGTGTGTGTGTCTGTCTGTCTGTATGGTGTGTGTGTCTGTCTGTCCGTGTCATGGTGTCTGTCTGTATGGTGTGTGTGTGTGTCTGTCTGTATGTATGTTGTGTGTGTCTGTCTGTCCGTGTCATGGTGTCTGTCTGTATGGTGTGTGTGTCTGTCTGTCTGTATGGTGTGTGTGTCTGTCTGTCCATGTCATGGTGTCTGTCTGTATGGTGTCTGTGTGTCTGTCTGTCTGTATGGTGTGTGTGTGTGTGTCTGTCTGTCCGTGTCATGGTGTCTGTCTGTATGGTGTGTGTGTGTCTGTCTGTATATATGTTGTGTGTGTCTGTCTGTCCGTATCATGCTGTCTGTCTGTATGGTGTGTGTGTGTCTGTCTGTATGTATGTTGTGTGTGTCTGTCTGTCCATGTCATGGTGTCTGTCTGTATGGTGTGTGTGTGTCTGTCTGTCTGTCTGTATGGTGTGTGTGTCTGTCTGTCCGTGTCATGGTGTCTGTCTGTATGGTGTGTGTGTCTGTCTGTATGTATGTTGTGTGTGTCTGTCTGTCCGTGTCATGGTGTCTGTCTGTATGGTGTGTGTGTGTGTCTGTCTGTGTCATAGTGTGTGTCTGTCTGTCCGTCATGGGGTGTGTGTGTGTGTCTGTCCCGTCGTGTGTGTGTGTGTGTGTCTGTCTGTCCATCATGGGGTGTGTGTCTGTCTGTGTCATGGTCTGTCATGGTGTGTGTGTGTGTGTGTCTGTCATGGGGTGTGTATCTGTCATGGTATATGTGTGTTTCTGTGTCTGTCATGGTGTAAATGTGTGTTTAAAAATAGTGTTTTTGCTCACCTTTTTTTTTTCCCCACGCAGCGTGCTGGTCTCCCTTGACTGGCCCTGCCTCTATAGCTGAGATCATCAAGCTTGATGATCTCAGCCAATCCAATGCTTTGCCATAGGATTGGCTGCAAAACGCCACTCCAATCAGCATCTCCTCATAGAGATGCATTGAATCAATGTATCTCTATGGTGAACGTTCAGCACCTACAGGTGTGGAGGCCCTGAATGTAGGTGCACTAACACAGGAAGCACCTCTAGTGACCGTCTGAGTGACTGTCACTAGCAGTGTCACTTTGAAGCAATGTAAACACTGCCTTTTCTCTGAAAAGTCAGTGTTTACGTTGAAAAGCCTGTAGGGACATGCTATAGACACCAGTACCACCACATTAAGCTGTGTGTGTGCGTCTGCTAGTGAGTGAGCTTGCTTGCATGCGTGTGCCTGCTAGTGAGTGAGCTTGTGTTTTTATGTCAATGAGCTGATGTATATCAGTAAGATTGTTTGTCTATGAGGCTGTGTATCAATGAGCTTGTGTGTGTCATTGAGATGTCAGTGAAATTGCCTGTGTCTGCATGTGAGTATGCTTACTGTATAATTAAAAGTTTTACCCTGAAAGGACCAATATTTTATATTAGAAAAAGCAATATATATATATATATATATATATATATATATATATATATATATATATATTACTCAATCATCTGTCCTGGCAAGACATAGCCTTACATATTACACGCAACAATATATGGGGCTGGCACAAATTTTTTTTCCAGGGCTGCTTTGTATCCCCAGTCCAGCCCTGAGCGTGCCCTGTTTGTATACATCTTTCAATCTGCAGGGGAATGGTAGGATGGTAGTCCCAGGGCAGTAGCGTGTAGTGGGTGGACGTCGCTGGACGAAATTGTGGATTGTGTGATATGGGGCATAGTGGTGATAGCTCCGGGGCCATATCTTTGTGCGTTGACATTCTCCTCCAGACCGTCATAGTGGCGTTCAAGGTTGGGTACAAAAAGATAAGTCCTCTGCTCACTCCCATCACTACTGGGCCGGCAGCAATGACTACAGTACACATCAGCCCCAATATAGAGTAAAAACCAAAGAAAAGAAAAAGTTACCTGCGCTCTCTCCTTAATACCTATGTATATTTAGACAAATGGAGGTCATTTAGTTGCTCCAATGGCTATTGGAGGGAATGCCCGCCTGCCAACGTTTAAGGTCGGGTGTTTACTCGTTAGCCTACCAGCCATGTTTTTCGGTAGCCATGGGAGGAGGGATAGGGGCGTCTGCGAGAAGCTCGCCTCTATAGAGACCCACAGTTTGTCTTTCAGGCTGTGCGTCCATTCTATCAGTCTCTGGAGGTGAACAGCTTGTCAATATTTTGTCAGGTCTGGTAGTCCCAATCCCTCCTGTTGCTTAGGATTGGCGAGGGTGGCGAAGTTCAACCTCGCCTTCTTACGATGCCAGACATAGTCTGTAATTGTTTTACGGGCCTGCGAGAGGAACATTTTGGGAATGTGGATCGTTAGAGTCTGTTGACTATACAGAATTTGCTAGAGTATGTTAATTTTGAGTACACTGATCTTCCCTAGCCACGGGATATGGGGAAGTGTCCCCATATCCCCATATGGGGAAGTGTCCTTTTGTATTTTGTCGAGGAGTGGTGGGAAGTTAATGTGGTAGGTATCTGACAGATCTGCATACCCCCAGGTATTTGATTGCCTGCCCACACCATTGGAAGGGGAGCTCGTTTTTCAGCATTGTCACCAGTTTTTGGGGGCATCTTACGTTAAGGATTTCAGATTTTGAAAAATTGATTTTCAAGTTGGACAGTCTTCTGTAAATGTTGAATTGGTGCGTAAGTTTCCTTAGGGAGGATTCTGAATTTGTGATGGTGAACAGAAGGTCATCCTTCGCTGTCCCCCCATTGGACTCCAATTCCTGCTATTTGGGGATGAGCTCTTATGGCACCCATAAATGGCTCCAGACTGATAACAAAGAGCCAGAGTGACAGTGGGCATCCCTGTCTGGTGCCGTTTTTTAATCTCAAATGGTTTTGAGAGAATCCTGTTGACCTGTATGTGAGCGGCCGGGGCTGTGTACAAGGTCGAGATCCATGTCATCATGTGCGGCCCCATTCCTATGTGTTCAGGCATGGACAGCAAGAAGGACCAATCAACCCTGTCGAACACCTTCTCCGTGTCAGTCAAGACCAATAAGGCGGGCAAGGATCCCTATCGTGCCGCGTGGATCAGGTTAAGTGATTTGATCGTATTGTCCCTGGCCTCTCGTCTCTCCACAATGCCCACCTGGTCGGGGTGTATAAGATCCGGCAGAAGGGGTTGAATGCGTAGGGCCATGATCTTCGCGAAGAGTTTAACTTGAGACCTTATCGATCGCAATGGACATGGAAACTAAATGAATCCCACTCTGGAGCACTTCTTCCTCACCAAAAAAAAAATATTTAAACTATCTTTTTTTTTTACTTTTAAATTCTTCCAATGCTAAATTTTGTTCAATGTAAAATTAAAAATCTTATGTAAGAATTAGATTTTCTTTCTTGAAAAGTTTGCCAGGATGATATAGATCAAGTAAGTATATGTTTGTGTATGTGACTCTTTCAATAGATTCTAAATTAGGCATCTTTTGATAGGTTTGTCCAAGTCCAGTCTATAACCGATGAATAGAAAACAACAAAAAGCACTAATCACTGAAATCTTTGACTAAGCTTTTTGTAATATGCCAAAAACACTAACTTTAAGAGTTTTAAAGGTACATACATAGTAAGATATTGCTATGCTGCTTAAAAATTATGATCAAAGTAAAAATTGACATGTATACTTAGATTTATTGTTTTAATAATAATGACAAATGAAATTAAACCATAGATTACAGCAAAAGTCAGAAACAATGCTTTGAAATACAGAAAAAAATATTTAAACTATTTACAGTGAGAGCAGACGTGGTGAGGAAAAAAAAAAACTTCCAACAGAATGTTTTTTTTAGATACTTTCCACTCCAATGGAAGGGTTGTTCCTCTTCTTTAATTACTTACTCGGGGTTCTAACTTTACCTTCTTTTTTTTTAGACATTCATTTTTTATTTTTTTTCATAAATCAGCATGAGAAAATACACATATTGGTGGCAATTCAATATAAGAATATTTAAGGAACAAGACAGACTAACAAGAAAACCTGGATGTAACAATAATTGTGTCTTACTGGTAGGTCAAATTCACATAGACACCCATTCATATATACTGTCAAGGAAGAATTACAAGTTGGGAAAAGTCCAGGCATCTAGGGATGGATTGAAAGGAACAACCCTTTCAGTTGAGGATGTGA